GCCGCATCTGACCTCGACGTGGCATCTGGCCTGGAGGTGACATCCGACTCGGAGACAGCATCCGGCTCGGAGGCCGCATCTGACCTCGACGTGGTATCTGGCCTGGTGACGGCATCCGGCTCGGAGCTGCAGCTGATGCGCCGGGGCCTCCTCACGCGCACCGGCGAGGTCATCTTCCTGCCGGCCAACATGCTGCAGCATGGCCTGATGGCCTTGCTTCGGGTGCTGGCGCGCCTGCGCGAGTCCCTGAGCCTGTCGGTGGATGTGCTGCTGCGTGTGCTGCTGCGCACGGGCCCGGCGGCTGACGGTGCCGCCTGCCAGGCCGAGGCCCCGGCCGCCAAGGCCCCGGCCGCCAAGGCCCCGGCCCCGGCCCCCCAGCCACCGGGCCCGGTGACCCAGCGGTCTCTGATCGATGCGCTTGTCGCCCTGCCGCATGAGGTGGGCCAATGGCTGGTGCAGCTGGCCCGGTGGCTGTGGTCCGGCAGCGCGTCGCCCGAGTCGCCGCTGGCCGGGCCCATGCCGCCGGCTCGGGCGGCTGCCGGGGCGGCCGCCCGGAATGCCGGGCCTGCGGGCGATTGCCCAAGTGTCCTGGCCCCAGGCCGGGCGGTCGGCACGGCCGCCGGAGGATGCACACCTGCCCGCGCGGCCGACACCAAGACCGGCAGGCCGGCTGGCGTCCAGGTGTCGCTTCCCTGAGCCCGGGCGGTGGGGGAGAAGACCCGCGATGGGGGGGCCGCCGTCGCCGCTGGGGGAACCCGGTGGCGGGCTGCCGCGCGCATTGCCCCGACCCGGCGCGGCCGGCAGGCGGCCCGAGGTGCCCGCCGCCCATGTGTCCTCGAAGGGACCTGGGCCGGTCCGTGCCGGGAGGCGGTCCTCTCTGCGTCCCCTCGGCCGCGGGCCCTGCTCCCGCGCGCGCGCGCGCGCCCCCGGTGGGCATGCTCCGGCTGCGGGGGAGGTGACCCGGCCCCGAGCGAGCCAGGGACAATAAAGCCTTGGCGGACGAAGGCCCCCTGTGTGAGGAGGAGGCCCGCGGCCGCGTCCTGCTGGCGGGGGGGGGG